ACTTAATGCTTTATTGAGAGTTAAAAAATTTTTTAAGGTTGTTGAGTTAGTATGAGAAACATAGAAGAAATTTAAAAGGGATAATTCCAAAGAGTAATCTCATCTTTCATGTAAAATTGTTTGCATTCTAATTAATAAATACAATTTTCATATTGCCATACAATTAACCCTATGGTATATAAAAAAAAAAAATAAACAGAGTTCTCATACGAAGAGGCATGTATTTCTAGAAAAATGTTTATCGCCCCTTTTATCACTCTAAAAGAAATTGAAGGAGTCACTTTCATTTTTTATTTAAAAAAAATGAGACATTGTCCCTCTACTCACGAAAACTTTTCCTTTGAATCCAATGGCCACTTAATCCAATAAGAAAATAACATTCAACGATTAATTTATTAATTTTCTCTCGACAACCATATATATGAACACTAGGCAAATCCTTTACATTAATTTAGAAAAAAACATTCAGATTATTCTCTTATAATATGAATTTTCATTAATTTTAAGTTTTCAAGGATTTCTGCTGACCCCAAAAACGTGATACTTTTTAACTCTCTTAATAGTATTGCTTCTGCATTAACTTACTTTTTATACCATTCCTTATCAAGCACATGCACATTTTTTCAAGAAGTTTTTCACAAAGTTATCAATACCGTACCAGCATACGTATCGGTTTTGCTACTGGAACGGTACGTACCGGATATCGGAATTTTTCGTGTACCGTTTCAGATTTATCGGTATATAAAACTTTTATGAAGAAATTCAAGAAAAATAACAAGAAAAGGACTCAATCGAAAAAATTAAAAAGTTGAGGATGAAATCTACTAAAACAAATCTACAAATCCACCCCAATATTGAGCCCATCAACAATTTTCATAGCCCAGCCCATCAAAACCCTAGTTTCCCCTCTTTTAAGGTGTGAAAGAAACGGCAGGCCAAAAAAAAAAGAAAAGAAAAGACACACAGAAAGCCTCTCGATTTTTCTCCCCTCTCCCTTTTGCAGATCTGCGATGGCCACCATCACCCTTGTTCCTTCACCTCCGACCTTTACCATCTCCCTTCTCCCTTACCATCACCCTCGTTCCTTCACCTCCGACCTTCACCATCTCCCTTCTCCCTTCTGCAGATCTGCGACGGCCACCATCACCGCTGTTCCTTCACCTCCAACCTTCACCATCCTCTTGCTAGCTAATCGTGACGCTCATCTCACCAATCACCAAGAAGACGATATAGATCTAGCCGGAAGCCCCTTGGGACTCTGACCTTGACATCTTCTTGCGTCTCATCATCGTCACTGCCTCCACCTTCATCACCGGTAAGGAGAGGGGTTCGGCAGCCACCAGAAAGGGAGGATCTCTCTTCTTCAAAAAAATCTGAAGTGGTTGTCACTTGAAGTGGTTGTCACTTGAAGTGGTTGTCAACACTGCCGGTACGCCGGAATACCGGGCGGAATACCGAGATTTGACCGAAATGAGCGAAATTTGACCGAAACGAAATTAAGCTTCATACCGTTTCGGTGCAATGAAAAATCCGGTACATACCGGCCATACCGGCCGGTACGAAACGGTATTAACTTCTTTGGTTTTTCATACTCAATAGACGTCAAATCAAAGGCTCTCTAATTTCTTTCATAGAAAAATATTTAAGTGGTTGTCTTCTAGTCTAAAAAGACTTTTCAGCATTCTTATTTTTAATTCTATGTTAATTTTCATCACAAAATCAATCACTGAAAGAGATAACAATTTTGTGGAGCACTGAGTACTAATCAAATTGATAGATGATAAATGAAAGATCAACATTTAAATGGTTGGATAGGAATCTCAAGTCCACATGACAAGTACAGTACTCTTCTTAAAGTCTTCAGAGTTGGAAGCTACCCAGAATGATCTTATAGAGAAGATTTCTTTTGGTTCAGTAAATGGTTGATATGTAAACGTATTAATTCTCCTATAAATACCACCGTATACAAGTCATTAAAATCACAAGAAATCCATTACTATTTCAACTCTTTTAAGAGAAAATATGGGGTTCTCACTAAAGCTCTGTCCATTGGTCTTCGTGCTTTTGTCCTTCCTTGCTTTTTCGTTCTCTTCATCGTTTTCTTCTTCTTCAGCAACACAGCTCTGCTCTCACGAGCATGCCACAGTGTTGTTGCAATTCATTAGTGCTTTTTCCATCAATAAGAGTGCTTCTTCTGGGTGTGAATATTTTTCTGGTGTCAAATCTTACTCTAAGACACTGTCATGGAAGGAGGGTACAGATTGTTGCTTCTGGAACGGGATCACATGTGACAATGTCACAGGTAATGTAATTGATCTTGATCTCAGCTGCAGCAATCTTTATGGCTCCTTGCCTTCCAACAGCAGCCTTTTTCTCATCAAAAGCTTGCAAAGCCTCAATCTTTCCAACAATGATTTTAACCTTTCCAAGATTCCAAGAGAAATTGGTCAGTTTGTGAGCTTAAAACACCTTGACCTTTCTTATTCTGAGTTCTCAGGACAAGTTCCGAACGAGATCACCCACCTTTCTAAGTTAGTTTCACTTAATCTCTCTAATTTTGAGTTGAAACTTGAAAAAACAACTTTCAAGAATCTTGCTCAAAATTTAAGTGAGATAAGAGAACTTATCCTTAGTGAAGTGAACTTGTCATCTTTGAATCCTCGTTACGTAATGAATCTTTCTTCTTCTTTGATAAATCTTGACCTTCGTTTTTCTGACTTAAAAGGAAACTTTCCACACAACATTCTCCAGTTTCCAAATCTTAGGTCTCTTACACTAGGTGGAAGTGAACAACTTACTATTAGTCTTCCAAGGTCTAATTTAAGTAGTCCTCTTGAATTCTTGTATCTGCTAGACATGAATTGCTCAGAACTTTTTCATTCAATCAGCAACTTGAAGTCATTGAAAGCTTTAAATCTAATTAACTGCCGCTTGGAAGGTTCCATTCCATCTTCAATAGGGAACTTATCACAGCTGAGTAAGGTCCGCCTTTCAGGAAACAATTTAGGTGGTCTGATCCCACCATCACTTTCCAAGCTCACAAAACTTACTTTCCTTTCACTTTCATATAATCTGTTTTCTGGTTCCATTCCTTTTGATTTAGGTAGATTTTCAGAGTTAGTCCATTTGGACTTAAGTGGTAACTCATTTAACGGAACAATTCCATCTTGGATTTTCACCCTACCTTCCTTAGAGTTTCTATCTCTGTCTTATAACCAAGTCCAGGGTCCAATTCCTAGCTCTATAACAAATCTTGTGAATCTTAGTTCTCTTTATTTATCATCAAATGGTTTGAACGGTACATTAGAGTTAGACATGTTTTCAAAACTTCAAAATCTTGAATATCTTTCTCTTTCAGACAACAATTTGTCTTTGAAAACTAATTCCAATGTCAATTATACATTACCCAAACTAAGAGTCCTATGTCTAGCTTCTTGTGATTTGAGTGAATTTCCAAATTTCTTAAAAAAGTCAAGTGATTTAGAAGAATTAGACCTTTCAAATAACAATGTGTCTTGGAGAACAAATATCAATGTCAATTATACATTCCCTAAACTACTATTTTTGCATTTGTTTTCTTCTAGTTTGAGTGAAATTCCCAATTTCTTTAGAGAGTCAAGTGATTTAGAAGAATTAAACCTTTCAAATAACAATATGTCTTGGGGAACAAATATCCATGTCAATTATACATTCCCTAAACTACAATATTTGGATTTGTCTTCTTCTAGTTTGAGTGAAATTCCCAATTTCTTTAGAGAGTCAAGTGATTTAGAAGTTTTAGACCTTTCAAATAATAATGTGTCTTGGAGAACAAATAGCAATATCAATTGTATATTCCCTAAATTACAGTCTTTGTATTTGTCTTCTTCTAATTTGAGTGAGTTTCCCAATTTCTTAAGAGAGTTAAGTGATTTAGAAGATTTAGACCTTTCAAATAACAATATGTCTTGGAGAACAAACATCAATGTCAATTGTACATTCCCTAAACTACAATTTTTGTATTTGTCTTCTTCTAATTTAAGTGAATTTCCTAGTTTCTTAAGAGAGTCAAGTGATTTAGAATATTTAGATCTTTCAAATAATAGGATTGAAGGCCAAATTCCTAAATGGATGTGGAATGTGGGGAAGGACACTTTGAGATATCTAGATCTTTCTCACAACTCCTTGATGGCTTTAGAGCAGATCCCTTGGAGGAACATTGAATTTCTTGACATCCAATCCAATATGCTTCGAGGAGTATTTCCAGTTCCACCAATTAAAATGATCTGCCTTTTTATCTCAAACAATCACTTGTCTGGGGAGATTTCTTCTGAACTTTGCAAAGCTAATTCCCTTGAAATTCTCGACCTTTCACACAACAGCTTAAGTGGGATGATTCCAAATTGCCTTCCTGACTTGAGCAAAAATCTTTCAGTGTTGAATTTACAAGCAAATAGGTTTCATGGAAATATGCCATCAATGTTTCCAAAGGGATGCAAAATACAAAATTTCAATTTGCGTGGAAATCAAATGGAAGGCCTATTACCTAGATCCTTGCTGAATTGTAGCGAGTTGGAGGTTCTAGACATCAGCAACAACAACATAAAGGACACATTCCCCCACTGGTTGGAATCACTTCACAAGCTACAAGTGCTTATTCTAAGGTCAAACAAATTTCATGGTTTGGTGCACAATACCAAAGCAAATTCATCTTTCCCCAAGTTACGGGTTTTGGACCTATCTAACAATAATTTTGTTGGTCCTTTGCCTGTGCACTACATTGAAAATCTCAAAGCTATGGTAAATGCTCATGAACATGGCAACAACTCCGCACAATACATGGGCGGAAGATTTTCATATGAATATTCAGTAATGGTGACAATGAAAGGATTTTTCATTGAACTAGAAAAAGTTTTGACCATATTTTCAAGCTTTGATCTCTCAAAAAACAAGTTCAGCGGAGAAATACCAAAAGTTATTGGCAAGCTTAGTTCTCTCAAAGGACTTAATCTTTCTCATAACAACCTTAGTGGTTTTATCCCACATTCACTTGGGAACTTGACAAATCTCGAATGGTTGGACCTATCTTCCAATGAGCTAGTTGGGGAAATTCCACAAGAGTTGGTATCTTTAACATCACTTTCTGTTCTAGACCTTTCCAACAATCAACTTGATGGATGTATACCACAAGGCAATCAATTCAACACCTTTGAAAATAGTTCGTATGAGGGAAACCCTAGATTATACGGATTTCCATTAACAAAATCTTGTGATGGAAATGGGATGCTGCAACAACCACTAGGCTCCTTCCATGGAAAAGATCATGAGTTATGGGAATTTGGTTGGAGAGTTGTGCTGCTAGGGTATGGATGTGGATTGGTGTTTGGACTACTAATGGGGTATATTGCCTTCCAAATTGGAAAACCAAAATGGTTTGTGACTTTGTTTGCTGGCCAACATATCAAAAAGCAAGGAATGTGAAGAAAGCTTGAACATGTGCTCAAAGAAGAACTTACTTGCAGATTTGTTGACTAAGACCTCAGTGTTTCCTAAATGTTCTTGTTTTGATTGAATTGTGTTTTTTTATGACATGCATAATCTTTTCATCTTCTCTTTGTACTTTGTAATTCTCTGTCTCTGTTAGAAAATACGTTTAAAAGGTCAGCTCAATGTAATTACTGTTGAATACAATAAACTTAAATAAATTTCTATAATTTGTTTCATTCAATAACTACTGGGCATGATAAGGTAGAATCTTGGTGTGGCTTTAGTGTGGAATGAAGTGAGTTTATTGATGCCTTGATCCCACATATATGATTTGTATACCTCAATTTTTGGCCTTATTTCTAATACCGTGTGATTGCTAATTTTCCTCTTAGAAAGATAAAAGGTAGCAAGTTCAAATTTTAAGCAAAGAAAAAGTTTATAATAGCTGGTAGTACACTGTTTTAGGTTTTTTAACTGAATAGATAAAAAGTTAAAAAAAGTTAATAATATTTGGTAACACATAATCAATCCCCACAATTTTAATTTTATCATTTCATAAGCTTTTTCGACCAAAAGCTTTGCAAAAGCTTTATCCATCGTAACCATGGCATGCTGCAAAATCAAAAGAACGAAAGTGCCCGCCTTGCTCCAAACTTTGATACACATACAACTCATAGCTCACATTACAAGCCAACCATAATTGGATATCCAACTCTTTCACTAGCTGTAATATAGCTACTAAAATAGCTATAAAATTGAATTATCACACATCATGTACAACAGGATTACAATCCCCCTTCCACCATATTATGTTGAGATGAAGGAGACCCCAAGAATAAATCATGCTTTCCATGATTACATCATTTCATAATGCTAGACTCAAATACAACTCGACCCTTGCCGAGAAAAGACCATTGCATTTCGTCAATGGACAAAAGCACTGTGCAGATGAAACGAATGGCTTTCCCTCTCAACAAGACACTTGGCTGAAGGAGTACAAGGACAGCTGCAGCATGTCATCTTTAGACAAATCAAGCTGATATTGGCTCGTATGGATATGATAACCATGGGTGCTTTAGAGCCTCAGATTCAGTAGGCCGCTTTTTTGGGTTTATCTCAAGCAAATGAGCAACAAAATCAATAAAACCCTGATCTCCCATAGGCAAACGATGCCTTAAAGATGTCCTTTTTGGAATCAGGTATTCCAGTCTGTTGGTTTCCTGAATAATTCGAGTAACATAAACCATTTAGATATAAGCATGGGAAAATATTTGATGAACACAAAATCAAATACCAGACAAGTAAATGAATCACAGATAATATAATGATAACTGCAACCTTAAAAATGTTATATTAGAGAGGAGGAAAGTATGATAAAACATCTGGATAGGTTCAATAGAAAAACATACACAATTGAGCAAAAACCCAAAAACAGATGCTGAAGCTCAATGGACATATCAAAAGCTTTGGTAAAGAAATAATCCAACACTAGGACACTGAAACTAAAATACAATGATGTGACTATTTAGATGCTGTAGCATAATTAAATCCAATGCAATGTTCTACCACAATTACTTAATTACTAATAATAATGTAGTATCTTGTCTCAGCTGGTAATATGAATACTGTCATAACCAAGCATATCACAAGTTTACAACTTCTATACATCACTGCCTCATGGACACAAAAGCAAATATAGTATAAAAAAGATGGTTACCTGATTATGCTCATAAAGCATGTGATTTTTAGTGAAATATTTGTATGTACCACGTCCTTTGGCAAGCATGTCTTGATCAATGGGACAAATGATTCCAATAACCCTTGCAAGTAATGTTGCTGGTGAATCATTTTGGAAAAGGACCTACACCAACGTTTCATTGATACCAATTTGCAAGTTTCAAAGTGATCAGTTGCAATAGTTTCAAGTGATATAGATTGACATAAGATCAGGAGTCTAGCTGAAGTCTAGGCATCTCTTAATTCATATGTTAAAACTTACATTGCCAGTACAAAGTTCTGCCAAGATGCAGCCAAGTGACCAGATGTCTATCTTCTTATCATATGGAAG